CTGTTGATAAATCTCTTGTAATGAAGTCTTTCTTCTTTAGCTACCGTTCTGTAGAGCCAGCTTTGACTTAAATTTACAGTACGAAACAAATCAAGAATCTATCTTTATTGCCGTAGGAGCACGGTAGGAACTTGCAGCATATAGCGTCACTGTGAAAGAGGCCGTTTGGATATTCTTGAAAAAAAAAACAGTGCAAAAAGGTGTAATAAGGCATGGTATGCATGCTAATTTCAGTACACAGATTTTTGCGCTTTCGCGGGGTTTTAAATGGCCTAATTAAGTTTTAAATGAATAGCAGAAAATGGTTGTTGTGGTATATCTGGCACTTATGAAAAATGCGTTGCGGTGAGGTGCGAGAGGTTCATATTTGGAATCAGCAATTCTGATTAATCTAGTGTAACAGTTTCCAGCTTCTTTGGTTCTATTTTAGGAATGAAATAGGACCCTAATTAACTCAAAACCCTCCTCAAAGTTCCTAACAAGCTCCGTAATCCTACAGTAATGAAGATGATTCGCACCATACATAAAATCTGAGTTAAAGCCAGCTCTACAAAATGGCACTTGAAGCTGCTCGAAGTACTTCATTACAAGAGAGTTATTAACAAACAAACAGTAGGCACATCTTTTTAGGAGACCCTGTGCAAAAGAACTGCCGCATTCCCCAAATCCACCGAAATGATCTCAGAAATTAACATTCATATTTAGCATCCGCATCAATCTGGAAATCAGAAGAAAATTCATTCAAATCAGTACCAAGTTCCAAGTTTTAGCTCAAATCACCAAAGTGCTTGTACGTACAAGAGGGCGTGAGGGTGAAGATGGGGGGGGGGGGGGGAGGGAGGGGAACAGGATCTGAGTCGCGAAGTTCTAGAAAGGTATAGCTTACACATAAAATTGTGCAGTGTCAACCATCAATTAATATGCACGAAAGTGTTGACAAAATTAGTGATGGATCTTCTCAAATGTGCTTGTGCATTACATATCGTATACATATAAATTCTAGCCGGGTACCACATTAGGTTGTTACATAACTTTGTTACACTTTTCGTCTTCTTCTAGCAAACTTGAAGATTAGGCAAAGTCTCATATTTGGCATACATAGGGAAGGGATAACTATCCATTGGCATAAGGCAATAGTCTAACGACACCTCAGTCTCCAATTTTTTCTTTACTTTGAAAAAAAATCTCCCATTCTTCCTTTTTACCTTTTGATTCTTTATGGACCTACAGAAGCATCAGTAATCATCATTAGTAGTAATACGAAAAAGTCCGGAACTTTAAGCTCTAAATGCGAGTTGGAAATTCACCAAAAATAACTCGCAAAAATTTTTTGAGGATTAAAAATTGGATTTTTCAAGTGCAAAACTTCTAAAAATCCGCAGTTCCCCATATAATTTGAATTGAAAAAATCTAGAGTGAGGTGTGGCCATAGCCACGCGAGCCGAAAATAATTGTGGGATACTTTCTAATTACCGGGACTTACCCTCAAAATTTCAAAAAAGGCATGACGGCAGTCTCGCACCCGAAAACTATTTTTTAATAAAACTAGTTCGACCTCAGCAAAAATTTTATCATTTTGATGATTCAAAATTACAAAACAAATCATCCACGAAATTTGGAAATCTAAGCACATCATTTTTGAGATTTTCCCATCCCATTTTTGAAGGCTTGAAGTGAAGGAAGAAAGTGTTCTTACTCGCTCCACCACTGTTTAGTCTGGATTGAGTTTTCGTGGTATATATGTGTGCGCACTCATAAATGCTTTCCGAGGATGCTCACTTTCGCCACGGCCCTCCCTCCCTTCCTCTCCCCTCCCTCAACCCACAAAAAAATTGACAGGACTATCTCTACCTCGCTTCTTTCCTATGCAAAATCTTTCTTGTGATATAGGTTGTGAACAAAATAAGAAATACAAACAGGATGGAAGGACAAGCGGGAAATAATAAGCTTAATTTCTAGCCATATCATTTTAGTGCGAAAGTGCCATAAGCGTTTCAAACTCACGAAAAATAGCATCGACTCCCAGATTCGTGTGGAGGTGGATTCCATCCTAACTCTAAAGCGTGGGCTTTTTTGATAGCGCGGGAGCGCGAACTACAATGCTATAACGTGGAGGTTCAACGAGTTATCCTTAGTTCCTTTTCCTTATAATCAGGAAAAGTTCGCAACGCCTTAAAACGAATCTTGGAGCCGATCATAGACTTTTAAGCATTCGCTTCACAGCCGACTAGATGCACGAGAACGGCAGGAAAAGTCGGTCGTGACAGCGATGGGAAATTTGTGCCTGGACGTTACTCCAGAGTCCATCAAAGGAAACGTTCCGGCAAAATAATAGTTACTGGGACTTTAGAAAGCCGCTCATACTTCACCGACTTCAGCGCGACGCGATTTGGCAATTCGCCAAAAGTCTTCAGATCCAACAGTAGCCAACCGCACATGCATAATGTGTATAACTTGCGTGGATTGATAAATGCCCTATTTTGTACATCTAAAATGTGCTTACAGTGAGTTATGCACAGTTAGAATATTGCCAAACGCGGCACGACTGAAATGCGTGAAGTATGCCGGGCCCTTAAAGGCACCGTCCACCCAAATTAAGGGTTGGCGAGATTATGATGGCATACTAGTGTGGGCCCCCACACTAGGCAAACCCCCAAGCTTCGCCGCAAGAGACTGTTTCTGGAGCGAAAAATCCGCTCCAGAAGTAGCAAAGTAAGCGGGGCGACCATGGTCGCCCGCCCACTTGCATGCTTTCTGCTTGTTGCAGAGGGTTCTCGAAACAGGGATTTTTGGTGATTTCGCGGATTTTCCACTCCATCTTCGGAATCAGGGCTTTGAGAAAGCCTCAAGGCGACAAAAACATTGAATTCGAGATTTTGGGTGGACGGTGCCTTCAAGACGTTGCTGTGGCAGCCCCCCCCCCTTCAACTAATCTATCAGTGAAGTCTGGAGCGAAAAAACGTGTCTGGGAAACCTAAAATCCACTTTGGAAGTCCTACGAACTCCCCCCCCCCCCTTCCCTCCCCTCCCCTCAGTTACACACATTCTGCACCGAGTGCTGACATGGAAAGCTTCGTATAAAAAGCTCATTTTTGCCATTTTCGTGACGCGCAAAACCAGAATAGAGGTCCAGTGTGGTGAGAAAGCTTCGAAAAGAGGGGAAACACCTTCAGAAACTTGATCTCCTATATGAGGGTGTCAAAGGGAGCGTAGGGTGTGCTGCTGTAGGACCAATGACAAGTTACGGGCACATAAACCATATGAGGAGAGCAGTAGCCCAGGAAATTTCTTCGGGTAGGGGGGCAACGGCGTACTTCTTACCGGCGTTAGTCACACGCTTCGAGAAAGTCTTGATGCTTTTGAATTCTAATTTGCTTGTAACCCATAAAAAATTAAACGTAAAAAAATTAAAATCAAAATTATCATATCCAACTTTTTTCAAAAAAAAAAATAAAAAAAACATTTCGTGCACAATTTGCATTTCAAAGCGCCGCGGTACAGCTCCGAAGGTTCGCAAAATTCTTTAAAGTGGCTACCTAGGTTTCAAGGTTTGCAAGTGACTTATGTTCACTAGTAAATGATCAAAATATCATTCAGCTATGTGAAAATAAATGCTTTCAAAATGTGGGAGGTAAAAGCCGCAAAGGAAAATACTGCAAAAAATTTTCGAAAGGCGAGCTAACACCAGGCTACTTCATTCAAAAAAAATCTGTAGCACCTTTCCTAAAGCTCTCGAACCGCCACTACCCAATTTATGTGAAAGCGTGATTTACAGGGAAGTCAAACTTTGCAGAGATCGCATTCTAAGCGAAGCAGATACAAACTTTGGAACAGATAGTCTGTAACTAACCGCATAGCACATACACAGCGTTACCAATATGTCAATCCATTTGATTATATTACTTCTCGGGCACATGATCAACAACTGGCATATTAGCATCGTTAACAAACAAAAATGGGGCTTGCGAAAAAAAAAAACACAGAGTGCGCTCCAGCATGCACGAACATGCACTCTGGCAGACTTCTACAGTCTAACGCAATCTAAATCAAGCCTCTGAGCTGCAACTGCGCCCTCGCACCGCTCGGAAGTCGCGCTGCATCTGCACGCGCAAAGCACTGCGATGGGATAAAGATCGAAGGAAGTGAGGAGAGAACAGAAAGCTGCTGTGACGCAAGCCTAGACGTGGCGCAGAACCATGGCAGTGCGTATGCGCGCCATGCCGATTTTGGTCTGAACCGCATTGGAAGAGACTGTAATGGCCGCAGTAGTGAGTGATCACAGATTGCACAGACAACTTTTCCAACTTGTGAATCATCAGACTCTGATAGAAATCTTGGAAAAGTAGTTCGCTTCGAAACAAAAAACTTGTATGGTTAAAAAAGATGTGAATCCACTCCCTAATAAAAATCTTCTGAAATATTTTCTACGCCTCTCAATAATAAACAAAGTCATGAACTTCCAAGAATTTTCTGTTATGTTGAAATCGACTTTCATCCCAACTACTAAGCCAATGTCACAAAGCACCCTTCCTCATAATACGTATTTTTGAGACATATAGGTCCTCACTACAAAATCAAAAAATAACTACAAAGTGAATATGTTATACTGGCACACTTCCCGCTGAAAACAAAAACTGTGGTCATCGATATTACTGCAAAAATTGTCGAAAACAACTACCCCTAGGTCTTGCTATTTAAAATTCACTGCGAAGCTTATAATCACACAAGAAAATCTTAAGCAGACTAAAACATGCGCTTGCATATCGCCAGTATGTATCATATTAACCTCCGAATTTTCTCAACGCTATTTCATGCTTTTCTATTGTGGAATTACGCCCGCCATAAGCCATATTCTTGAACATAAAGAAAAAAATTTCTTGAGATTCTCCTCCAAAGTAGCTCCGCTGTCCATATGAACTTCTCTAGGCCGTCTTACCCTGAAAAGAGATATTTAAGCGTACAAGCAAATCAAGGAATTTTCTCAATCTAACGAAGGGATAGCAAAGAATTGCAACTAAATCTAAGTTTCTATACAAGATTACAAAGAAAACGCACCTGTGTTTGGATACGATGTTGAGCTTTGAAGTCCAACAGATACTACAAGAAACAGCTGTGCATAGAGAATGGTTTGCCAAAAATGATTATCATCTTTTATTCAATGCATTCAATGGATCATTACACAGATGTGAACCTTATAGTCGGTGAAGGGTATTTTGAACAGAAAATAAATAATATGAATGGACATGCTACATATGGCTGTGTACACCTACGAAGATTTTCACTGGAGATGCGCAAATCCGCACTAAGGAAAGACCACTACTATGGAGTTCTCTTTTATTGCAACGAAAACTATGCTGAGACCCAGCAAGCAAAAGCACGCATATATCAAAGAGTAGAAATTTTGATATCACGAACTGACGATGAGGAATGAACTTCGAAAGTGCATGAGTAACCCGCAAAAGAGCAGTCAACCGAAAGAGATACCGACCAGGATCATTTACACCCACCCACCTCCATTCGCAAGCTCTAAATTCATCCACAATAAAAAAAACAAATTCGAAAAAAAAATCTGTGCCCTATCTAAATCTGAAATGATCCTGACCAAGCCTAATGGTCCACTATGCTGGACCGAAAGAGAGAAAAAGAAACTGATTTTCAAGAGTTCAGAATGTTCAACACAGGAAAGCCACTTGTCACTGTTCAATTGCTAAGCAACTAGCGCACCGATTTACACCATGACGGAAGACACCAGCAAATAGTCGACGCACCAATTAGGCGATGAAGCCTATACGAAAAGGCCACCTGTAATAGTTGAAAAGCTACAAAAAGCACAGAATGGCATTTGCTGGTTGGACTTTCGGACAAAGATGGTGTAAAATTCTAACAAGACTAGTCCAAACACACAAATGCCATGGAATTATGTAGGTAACATCTTTTCAAGAAGCTACCACTAATACGTGAGTGAAAAACATACCGTAAGGCCCCAATCGAATGAGATCACAGCAGTTGCTAGCAAACGCCCGTAATTGAGAATAAACACTTCGTACACGTGCGTTATCACTCAAAACCGGAAACCCGCAGAAGTAGAGAGTGCAAAAGGCCAAATATCAGAGATCATCCAATCATCACATAGCAAGTAGTTTTCGAATTCGCTGTAGTTCGTTAGTGAGCTGATCAACGAGCACGCGTCTCTTGAATCGACGCGAGTCGCGCAGCGCGAAATCGGCTAGATCTAATTGATCTAACAACGAACAATCAGCTGCCGTCTCACGACAAAGGTCCGTCCACACGGTACCATCTAGAAAGAGTTAAATGATAAATGTTTACCATGAAATGTAAACATCCACTGTAAGAAGATATGATAAAAAAACCATACTGTTCGCATGCCGCCGGACAATCTCCGCTATCCGCAACTTTCGTTCCATCATCTGCTCTTCAGACAATCGCTCAGTTTTTCGCCTTTTTGGTGGTGTCGCCACCAGTTCTTCTTCTTCCTCCTCGTCTGCACTCTCTGCTTCCAGTTCCAGTCCAGCAAACTCGTTCTGGATTTCATATAACTAGTATATTAGTGCACACCAAGCATAAAAAAATATGTGCAAGGAATTTTCAAATTCACGCGAACCAGAGTTGATGCATCCACTCCATTTGTCATTTCATTGACAGGAGCCTCGTCAGTAACTCCATCGCTAGTGCTTGGCATGTCAATGTCGAGGTCCGATGTATAAGACATATCAGATACAACAGACGATCGTTCGCTGATGGTTCTTCGCCTTTCCCTAAAAATAAGCGATGATATAGAATTGTTGAAAATTGACAAGACAAGAAATATCCAGACTGTTGCATACACCAACCTCCACTGTTGCAGACAGTTTGGCGCAACTGGCCCAGGTTTCCGCTTAGGAGGTCGACCGATGCCATCGGCTTTACGTTCCCGGCGAGTTTCTTTAGCGGTTGGTACCGCTGCATTGGCTCCTACCATGCCTTCACCGACCTGATATCAGTGAGTTTTGAATCCCACACAAAATTCCCAGCTGCTCACTTCGTCTATTGCTAGACTCTTCTTGTCAGTCTTGAATGGATTTCCGAAGGCATGAGTTCGCACAGGCGTTGGTTCAACTGGCCGAAGTGGACCTTTACCCACAGCTGCGAGACCTTTGATGTACTCCTCGTAGTTACCCATTTGCGAAATGGGTAACTGATGAAGCTCGTCTGAATATCAACAACTAATTAAATGAAAAAAAAAGCGATAGGAAGGGTTTTAGATGTCAGACGAATGTCTTGAAAAGACAACCTTGCGGCCTCAGGTGGAAACGATCAATTTCAATAACAATAAAAAGAAAATGGCATAGATCAAGAAAAGATACAGAGAATAACAAACCGGAATTATGCAGCTTCAAATCAACTCCGGGAGGGCCTCCGTCAAGCACAGCAATGGGGCTGTCGCGCAACGTCATGTCAAGATTAGCTCGTAACCTTAAGTAGTTTAATTATCAGCTACAGTTTGGATAGGAGAAACTAAAAGTAAACTGGGAACTATGAAAATCGCAATCAGCAAACGGTACCTTGGCAGTTCTTCAACCAGCTCGATAGCTGGGGCAATGAACGGATTTTTGAACCTGCATCCTGCCGAGGCTCTCAGACGCGGTTCGCATAAATGAATCTAAACATGGTCCCCAGTAAAAAGAAGTTAATGAGCTTATACACCGTGCTCACATGAAGCTGCATCCTTTGCGGTGATATCCGCAACTTCGTCAATTCAGATTCTGGATCTTTCATTGCGTCTTGCTCTCGACGATCCCTTCTCCCAACACGATCTTTTGGGCGAGCAACAGGCTGCGACTCCTTGGTTGATGGAGCTGAGTACGGCAGTTGTTCCACGGGCACCTTAAGGTAGCATAATTTTGCTGAGCTCAGTAGAATTTGCGTATAGAGTAGCCACAAACCAGAGGTAACGGAGCCATATTCTGCTGTAGTAACACTGACAATGTCGTGCATGTCTTCTCGAACTCCTCTTTCCCTTGAGTTTTGAGATCATTCAGGTAGTTCAATAGTTGAGCGGGGTAAACTTGACTGAGCGAAACTCCCCGTTCATCCAGCAATGCTGGTTCCATCTTCATTTTCGTGAACGCATTTCGAAGAGGCTAAACAAAAGTTTATGCTATGCGACATTCCACAATGGAGAGTAAGTCACATACTGTAAGGTAATAAGGAGGCATGGCTTCCACGTATCGATCTAATCTCGCTCTCCAGTTACCACCACTTCGAACACGCGGGTCATTCTTAAAGATAAGACATGATAACCTGTTCAAGAGCAAAAGCGAAGACAAGTTGTTCATCTACCTTATATTCTTCCAGAAGCTGTACAATCACAGGATAGTTGTATGGCATTATAATTAAGTTCACCATTTGTCCAGTGGACGCAGCCTTCAGATACCCAAAGGGTTTGCCAACACCTTCTGTCCGACTTGAAGAGCGAACAAAAACCTGTAGAAAAAATTAGAAACTCTAGGAGCAAGAGGATCCTTTGTAAACTTCCCCTAATATGCTGCTCTTCTATCAATAATATAAAAGCACTCACTTGGTAACACATGTTTGTCGAGGTAGTAGGATGCCTGTCTAAGATATATTCAGCTACGGGACTGGGTTCCAGCTGATATTTATCGAAAGGGAGATCCGTTTGGATTGTCTAAATGATCACTTTTAACGACAAAAAAAGAACGTAAATAATATCGAAACAAACTCAACACTAACGGGCGATGGTACCGCGTCTATTGAAAATACAATACATGGATGAGCTCGTCTTGGTGGAAGCTGACCCTTCCTAAAAACGAGGATGAGCGAGTGTACCAAGGATTGCTGAGATGCATAGTAGGCATAGTATTTAAAAATAATCAGTGATTTCTGTAACATAGCTTGCTCATATTTTTTTGCACTTCGAGGTGCTCATAACATCTGCTTTTGAATCTACTCAAGTATTTATGCAAGCTATTCTAAACTACGCAGAGAGACCAACTCGCAGTTCTCATCCCGCAACTATTGCGGGTAGAATGGGATACATTCAATGACAGCCACAATGTGCGCATCAGGTATCTTATTCAAAATAGCCTTCACAGACATATACCGCTCTTGCTAGAAAGGTTAACAATTGTATTGATTGTTGAGTGAAATCGGTATTGTGAAATACGTTCCTGATGAACTTACTCGATACGATCATGCCAAAAAGCTTCCGGTATTGGCCAATGCCCAGTAGGTGGCCGCCCACCTAGTCCCTTTACATACACCAGTGTCAACGGCTTTGTTTCCATATGATTTCGTAAACGCAACCGCGCTTTATCTCGGTCTGACATAGATTCTTCGTTTCCTTCTCTTACACCTGCAAATGCTACTCCTGAATAGCTCTTCCCACTACAGATAAAAACCGTATTGGAAGAATGACGGCGTACTTGCTAAAGTCGGGCATTCAAAGCGGACAATTATTCCATTTAGTTGAATGGCTTGAACGATTTGATCCACCATTGGTCCAATCAGCTTATGAGACTGGAGCAGGAACGATCTTCCTGCGAAAAATGAGTATACTAGAGATTTGTATGCATGATTTGCTTGATTTACTGTTAACTAATGGACACTATATATATATATATATATATATATATATATATATATATATATATATATATACAAGAGTACAATATATATATATATATATTGTACTCTCACAAGTATCATAAAGAAGCAGCAAAACTGATAAATTCTAGAACACTGTAGTGCCTGCCTACCTCCTGTCGATGCACATACAGACTCAATAGGTTGGCCTCCATTAGGAAGAATGATTGGCGGAGTAAGAAATACCCGAGTTCCTTTGGATGGATAACGTAAAACCTAAAAATAGCGCAGGTCACACAATTACATGCTATTCACTAAAATATTCATGTGATTATAATAATACTTACGCATGTGAATAGCCGTTGATCCCATCGGAATGATTCTATGGTCATCTCTGATCCCAACGAAGGCCTTGTTGTTGGCACGAGCTAAATATCACTTAATGGGCAAGTGCCGAAAAAACAGTCAGTAGATGAAAGCGAATGATTACAAAAAGCGACCGACAAAAAGCCGCGATGAGAAGAGATCATTAGCACATGTTATAATCATATGTGTTGAAGTGTCTGATGAAACTGAACATCGAAATTATATGTTCATGTCTTCATCTCTTGTGGAATTTTTGGAAAATGCGACACAAATACTGCTATGACCAATATGCAAAAAAATCGTTTTTGACGCGTTTCTCTCAATCTGGTTTTTTGTTCTGCATTGTTTTACTCAAACGCCAATTTGAAAAGTTGCATGCTTGCTATGCTATGGAATTCGCAAAAAATTTTTAACCTACATTCCAGAGATTCTCATATCTAGTTAACATGAAGGAAATATTGGGAGGGTTGAAACAAAATTCTTTGAATCACAAAAATGATTAACCAGCAAATTCTGACATAGTTAAGAGAAATTCTCCTTTAAAGACTTGTGATTAAAGGTGGTAGAAGAACAAATTTAAGTGCAGAGAGACTTCCAAGGACCTTTCGAAAAAAAGTAATGAAAATCCAATCGCAAATCTCTTTTTGATCAAAAATTAAGTGAATTACTCGTGGACTGTCAAGATAGCTGGAAGAATTTCCCGCATAACAGCTATAGTTTCAATCGGTGATCATCTTATGCCCTTTGGCCCCGGGCAGACTTCACGCGATTTGATCGTCGCGACTGAATCGCAAGGAGACAACTGTTACAACATCATTCCATGCAGATCAACTTGCATTCGGTTGCGATACTTTTCCAGACCGAAATTTTTGAATGTGAAATGAAAATGAATGGAAATCTTGGCGATTTGTTCGCGACGATTAAGTCGCGTGAAGTCTGACCGGGGCCTTTCAAACCAGACCACTTCTACTTTGTCGAACTTGTGTTCCATCGGTGATTTGTACGAGTTAGCAATGTTGTTGGGAGAATTTCGAGTGTGTCAAAAATCTGTTCAGGCAGTCATTGCAGATGAAAGATACAAAAATGTGATTATCAACGTCAGCGTCTTACGATAGGATTACTGTAGTCTCAAGGTAACAATCTTATTCTTTGCGAAAATCGTATTCTGAGGTTATTTCACATGCTCCTCATGAGACATGCACTTTGTTTGTAGCTCTTTTCGCGGGGCCATGATTCGGAAAAATTAGAAAGCTTCAAAATGGTTCATAATGATTCAAACTATTTGAAACAAGTGTACACGCATAACATTTCGCTGAATTATTATGCAGAAAATCACTAATTCATTAGATTCAAATAACATTGAGTGTGGTTCTACATGTCAATGGCTCGCTTCACCATGAAAACATAGCTGCAAAATTTCAGAAACTACATCATTCTAGGCACTTGAAATTTTAGGAAGTTTCGTCACATGATATCACTAATACTGTTCTAACATCTACTGTAGTACGTATTATATCATGAGATTTCGAAATAAACTCTCTATGCTTTCTGAGAGCCGAATCATCATCAAAGAGGCTTACCCTAAAATCCGGCGGAATATCCGCCACAGAAGTTGAGTCAGTGATAGCGAATAAGACCACCGGCTCGAAATACGTAGGAAATCGTCCGCAGCCATAATTATCGATTCCTAAAAATAACGATATTTTATAATTCCTTTGTAAGTATTACGAAAAAACATGTTCAAAGAGGAAACATCAAAAAAGGTGACATTTGACGCAGGCATCTTAAACGAGATTTCTTACGCACATACTGCTGCTACTGAGAAATCAATAAATAAAAAGCGCACACATACACTTGCACACACAGTGAACCGAACATACGAACCAGTTTGGGCACGATGCACATTGATGAATTTTAGTGCATTCATAAAAGCGTCAGAAATCGAGCCACGGCCGCGAGGGCGTAGACGCTTCAGCTGCTCGTGTAGTACAGCACTGCTCTCGCGCCATCCAGACTGCAAAGAAAAAAAAATGAAGACAGCATCGAAGTTTCTCTGGATATCATGGAAAGGGTTTACCTTGATGCAGTTCGGGTACTCCTCAGTGGTTATGAGAAAAAACCGATCATAGCCCCGCGTCGCTACATCTTTCATGCGTTGCTGCAAATGTCCTTTTTACTTCCACAACGGTCGGAACCTTTGGTCGCCGCATTACTCATTCAGCACTACAAGGCATTATGAAGAACTACACCTACCTTTTGCAAAGCGTCAATAATGTTACGCGCAACATCCAGATATGATGTGCCCAAGTATGTCTTTTGCGCCATTGAAGCGCTCGTATCAACGATTAACAATATGATAGTCATGATTCATCCGAGCACGGTGCGTTTCACGTAGACCGACCTCCAACACAGAAGACGACCACACCGCACACCCGAACCTGGATGAAATGAACCGCGGCCTCTGGAGTAGGCGTGAATTAGCGGGGGATAGCTCTGTGCATTCGCGGACGCGCAGCGTTACAGTGCGGAAATATTTACAATGGGTGAGTTTCGGTGGGAAAATTCAAGGTTGAAAAGGAGTTGAAGAGATTTTAACTTCAAATAGGGTGTTCCAACCTGTAAAGTATTTGAGATGTCGACGATGCAGATTTGCTGGTATTTACGCAAATAGATCGTAACACGAAATATGTCCACGACACAATGAGAAACTGTGGTTTTAGTAGGCTTTGTATTTTGCGAAAAACAGCAAAGAGTCAAACAAAATCCTGCTGAGTTTTTGATTTACTGGTCTGATCCTCATAAACACCGCTATTTCATTGTCTGATAAAGAAATTTCTTTTTGCGCCAATCACTCATTTCTTCGCTAACAAAGACAAAGATTACTAAATGGTCAAACAGCTCCATCAACCAGACATGAAGACATTCTAAGTAACTTTGTAGAGGTGAGCAAAAATGACTTTGCACTAAATTGATTATCAACACCAAATGTGAGGTTCACTAGCTTCCAACGCTCCGCGTAGTAATGGTCACGTCATTGAAATTTGAAGTATATAACTGTGTGTGGTACATTGGCATTGATAGCGGCTTCATTTGAGCTCCCGGAAGACAATTTTGCTCGTTTGTTCTCATTTTTCTAGTTGCACCTGGATTTTTTCTAAAAATCTCCCTACTTTCCCAAATCTCTTTGCAGGTAACGAAAACAAAGTTGGAATTAGCATTTAACACCCTTCAAGATAGTGTACTACATCACATCAAATCGCCGTTTCGACAGAGTAATTTTTTTTGTTAGTGATAAGTGTCATCTATCGAGTTGCGCCGTGTCAAGCAATACCAGGATACTGTTAGAAGTCTGCACAAACAAATGAATTTTTGTTTTTTTTTTGTCCCAAAACTGCTCTTATTCACTACAATGAAACGAAAATAGCAGTGATATTATACAAAGTCAAGGATTCTGGTCTTTTCGTAGAGACACAGCTTCTCATTTTTTGCGACATGTTGATTGTGGACAATTTGGGAAATCATCGCTTATGAATCTATGTCGTCAAGACATATTTGCACTCTAGGTGCGTATTTCTCTACCGGTGACCGGCTTTTTGTATTGGCTAAGATATTAGCCAAATATAGGCCTTTCACTCCTGATTGAGAAGATTGAGAAGAAGGAAGCGATAGCTCGATTTTCAAATCCGAAATTGATCTGATTGGATTACTGAAAGCGAAATCAAGGCTTCAGCAGCACCGGGGAAAAGTTGTGGTAGCGAAATTGAGTTCCATCTCTGCCAAGCGTTGACGACTTACGTAATAAAACACTTTTTTGTAGGTATTATTAATGCCGAAGGAGCGGTACGCAATGACACGCTCGCACGCGTTTTGCTTGGTTTAGCCAGACATCGATAGAGCCATTTACAGCCTTTTTTGAATTACATATAAATTGAAAGTTGTTGATTTATCTGATAAGTGCCCCTAAAAACTGAGAGTTACTTATGTTAGCAAGTAGAGCTGATTCATAATCTAGGTCACGATTTGATAATGCCGCAAATCTCATACCGTTTGTAGATATCTAACAATACGAATACATCCAGCTAACAGCAGAAGATTATCTCAACCTTTACTTGCCATTAGCAGAAGCTACTGCCGCTGTTAATAATTTTTTTGCCTGTTTTGGTTGTTATATGGCGATACTTTTAGCTGTACGATTCTATCAGCGCCAAAAAGTTAAGGTTGATCACTTTACTACTTGTTCACTCAGAAAAACACAGTTTAATTTTGAAAGATCCATAAAAACTTGAATCTATCACTACAACGAAGCTATTATCAGCTGAGCGAAGAAAACATGTGTGAACGCGGTAATACATTGGGAAATGGTTAATTCAGGTAAACGCCAAGAAGGGGAAAGGACGAGAGAGAAGAGGACACGGGAATGGGAAGGGAAATAAGTATTTATTACTAGAAATTTCCGCCAACCTAAACGCTTAGCAACTTCGTGCTCCACAGGCCTCTCATGGTAGAGTTAACCTGTCTTTACAGGAAATCCTCTAAAGGAGACGTGGCAGCGGAGATGCTGAGTCTCTTCAAGTTGATCTCTTCATTTGTGCATGTGCAATCACCAAGGACGGCTGGCAGCTTCGAGTAAGCGCTTCCTTCATCATGGATTTCAAGATTTTTCTGTCACAAGTCTTCGTAAAGAAAAGTTCCGCGCCTTTCGCCATGCTCAGCGTGCCTCAGGTCAATGTCGCGTGTCAGAACACGATGGCATGTTCTTTACCTGTTTGACATGTTTTTTCTTGACTTCTGCGACCTTGACTGAACAGGCAAATTAATTATTTTGTGTATCAAATCCACCTCAAAACAGTTTGTATCACTCCAAGATGAAGAGATATCGCAGGTTATCAGTATTTCAACATGTGAGCCTGCACACAATGCGCGGCGACCGACGGCACCTTTGTCAGTAACTTCTCATTAACACCTTTTAGGCATAAGTGTGTAATATTGTCTAGTAGATATTTAATCGGATAAAAAAGGCAAGGGAGCAAGGAGAAAACCACTGAAAACGGACAGGCTCTTGTCTTACAATTCGTCAAATAGAAGGCATATGTATGATACGCTGTAGAGTTGCAAATAACGTAAGGATACAACGTGTTTTATCTTCCTGTAGTCCATGTGCAGAGACACAAGATTATCTTACCAAAGCGCGCGAATTGCTGAACAAGTAGTTTGTCAAAGGCAGTGTCTGGGCAAAAAGTCGATTTGAGATTTTGTGCTTACCCGGTCCTATTCGCTACGCTGATTCGAAAATGCACATTGAAGAGCGCGAAAACGACGAAAAAGGGCTCTAACAAGGGAGGGAAATCAGCAAGTGGGCGGGGTACTCTCCACTGTGAATTCACGCTCCCAGCCTCCAGAGCGATCTTCTCGGTTCCGATTTCAAGTCATGCATTCGCACCTGGCCGGTGGAGATCTCAGGACGCTAGAGGAATTGGGAAGATCGCTCCAGAAGATGGGACTGCGACATCCACAGTGGGGAAGACACCGCCCACTTCCGATTTCCCCCCCTGCGTTAGAGCCCTTTTTTGCCGTCTTTGCGCTTTCCAATGTGGATTTTCGGATTCAGCATAGTGAATAGGCCCGGGTAAGCACAAAATCTCAAAATCGACTTTTTGCCCGGACACTGCCTTGAAGGCAGTATCCGGGCAAAAACTCGACTCGGAGGTTTTGTACGGGCCTCTTCGTCATGCTGAATCCGGAAATCCGCACTGGAAAGTGCGAAAACGGCATAAAAGGGCTCTAGCGAAGGAGGGAAAGAGATAGTGGGCGGGGTCCTCCCCACAGTGAATTCACGCTTCCAGCTTCCGAAGCTGTCTCCTCGATTTCGCTAGCCGTCCTAACATCGCTACCGGCCAGGTGCGGATGATTGACTTGAAACCGGAAGCAAGAAGATCGCTCCGGAAGCTTGGAGCGTTATTCACAGTGGGAGGACCCCGCCCACTTGCTGATTTCCTTCCTGTGTTCATCGATCTTCTCGCTTCCGGTATCAAGTCAATCATTCGCACTTGGCCGGTAGCGATGTTAAAACGGCTAGCGGAATCGAGAAGGTCGCTCCGGAAGCCGGGAACGTGAATTCGCAGTGGAGAGGACCCCGCCCACCTGCTCTTTTCCCTCCTGTGTTGGAGCCGTTTTTCGCCATTTTCGCGCTCTACAATGTGCATTTTCGGATTCGGCGTAGCGAATAGGCCCAAGTAGGCACAAAATCTCAAAATCGAGTTTTTGTCCGGACACTGCCTTTAAAGGCAGCGTCCACCCAGAATTTGGCCCCCCCCCCCATGTTTTCGTCATTCTAGGGCCTTTCCGTGGTCCTGATTACAGTTCCGAGCTTCAAACTCACTAAAATTCACAAAGAACCCGATTCTTGGGGACCCAGTTTTGAGGGCGTGGACGAGTTTCGAATTGCTCGTCCCCGTCGGCAGGCCAGTGGGAAGGAGCTGCAACTGCATGGGTGCAGTTGCATTGCAGTGTGCAGTGTGCAGCTTCTGCTTCTGCTGTCGAGAGGCACGTATTGACAAGGTAGTGAGCAGTCCCTGATGGGCGGAGTCTGATATCAGACTCCGCCCAGCCAGGGACTTTCAGGCTCCTTATCTCCATTCAGAGACAACGTTAGAAGACCGGACAACGCAGATGCCCCTTTTCTGGGGCCTACATTCAGGATCGACACTAATCGGAAGGGGTTAGGTTTAGCCTGGACACTGCCTTTAACCCTTTCGGACCTGGTGGTGGCAATTTCCACCATCAATTCAGAGATCTACTATACTGGCGCAAGAACATCATTTCACTACTCATTGCTCTCAAACGCTTCATATAGCCTTTGCCTTCCAAATGTAGCTTCGAGACCGGGTGTTCATTTGCTTCTCTGTGAATAGCATGTACATTTCTGTAAACAAGTGGATTTCAACCAATCAATAATTTGCGCCGGCTTGAGCACCGTTTCAGTATCTCGTTTATTAGTCAAAAAATATTCATAATATTATCATAATGTTTTGGTACGATGCTTAGCAAATGTAACTGTTAACTGTTTGCGGGTCCACATGTTTCGCGGGAGATTTGAAAATCCAAAATAAGCGCAAAACCAAAAAATCGAAAAATCAAAAAGAAATAGTTCATAAGGTTAAGCAGACTCCAAACTCCGCTATAATGTTATTCATATGGTAATAAGTAAAAAACACTAGGAGAGAGGCTTCTCGGCTCACTTGCAAAAAGTCAGGTCCGAAAGGGTTAAAGGACTGCCTACCATGGACGACCGGGGCGTGGAGGTTGTGCCCAAACGGTCGCAAGATTTTCGGAAATTACCCACATGAGTTATGAAGCGACTTGTTACTACTGAAACCGCATAGTTTTCGGAGGACATTAGGTATGCCCGTTCATTCGAATTTTTTTGTTCCCCCGTCCGCGAACTAAACTTTTCGGACCGTCTCTGTTGCCCATTTTCTGAAAAAAAAAATGCTGAGAAAGTTTGAAGCTTGCGAAGATGTTTTGTGCAGTTGCAGCTAAAAGCTTTGGAACTAACAAGGGAAGGCACCTGACTTAGGTCGGCCTTTCAGAAAAAGACGTATATATCCGAAATCAGCTTGAGACGCTGATCCAATTGTGCTGTCCTTAGCTGCGAAGCGTTACTCTAAAGCGAGTTATGAGCTTTTTAGCATGTGTTATTGACATATAACTGATTGTGGGAATAAGGCTTGTAGATGGAATTTGCTCAAAAAGTGGTGGGGATTCGAAATAGATCAAAGAATCATTTGGCCTTGACAGGGTGCATTATGCATCTGAACCACTACTTATCGCTTCAGAGTAATGCTTCGCGGCTATGGATAACAGATTTGAAATCAGCGTTTTGAACTGATTCCGATGATATGTGTTGCTTTTCAAAGGCCGATCTAAGGGCCGTATGCACTAACATCCCCGCGGGGAGGGGATCGCAACTCAAAAGAAAGCTTTATATTTCGAAACTCCAAATACCTGGATTTCACGTTGTGTACCTATCCGTAAGTATTCTTACTACCCTTCACTATGAACATGTTGAAGAGGAGCGAGAAGCTGTATGAACCGCATTTTCTAGCTTTAGTATGATCCCTGATGATCCCCGGCGCTTTTCTTTAGTCATTTTTTTCTCCGAAGTTAACGAAAAACCTCCAAAATTGTGCAGATTATCTAAACCGACAGTGCTAAGCATGTTGCTAATAAGAACAAATGATGTTTTGAATTCTTCGAAATTTTCGATGATCCACAGGTCGAAATTTGAGGTTTACCGAAAAATTCGACTTTTCACAAACTCATTTGTTCTCATCAGCAACATGCTTAGCACTGTTGTATTAGATGTTCAGTACAACTTTGGAAGGTTTTCGTAAACTTCGGAGAAAGAAAAATGACTTTGAAGAAAAGCGCCGGGGATCATTAGGGATCATACAAAAGCTGGAAAATGCGGTTCGTACAGCTTCTCGCTCCTGTTCAACATGTTCATAGTGAAGGGTAGTAGGAATACTTACGGATAGGTACACAATGTGAAGTCCAGGTATCTGGAGTTTCGAAATATAAAGCTTTTTTTAAAGCTGCGATCCCCTCCCCAGCGGGGAGGTTAGTGCATGCGGCCCTAAGTTAGGTGACTTTCCCCGTAAGCAACCAGATTCCGTATCTGGAAGCAGCTCATGCACATGACTTGTTCAAAAATCCGGTCCGCATAACCATAAAATACTTACTTTTCTTTTGAAGTTGTTGTGCTTTTGACGAAGAAGTTTCTACGTTTTGTTATGCACGTGCAGTAGGTACTGTGCACATAATTTTGAAAAATACAGAGTGTCCCAAAAAGATGTGCACACTGTTTGATGGTTAATAACTCTCTTGCTTTCAGGTTTTTTGCCGAATTCAAGGTACCATTCTGTAAACCGAGGTTCAACTTAGATTTGCAGTGTGGAGCAAATCACCAATCACTTTTCATTACTGTAGGATTACGGTATGAACTTCCAACATACAGCGTCACTGTGGAATAGGCCTTGCGATAAGAAAATTTCAAAAAAATCTGAAAATCTGTGTATTATGGTTTTCAAGCGTTCTGATTTCAGTACATAACTTTTCATCAATTTTTCGAATTTTCTTGCTCGGTATTCACATTTTTGAGCGACATTGGGAAAACAGTTTTTACTCTAAATCTGAAATAACTTATGAAAGTAGCACTGTACTAAATCGCAAACTTCATATGTAGAATCAGCACCTTCAATTAGCCCAGTTTGAGAGTTTCTGGCTTGTTTGGCTTTCTTTCTGAGGCAAATTGCGCCCTTTAATGGCTTAAAACCCTCTTCGAAGTTCCTACCGTAATCCTACAGTAATGAAGAGCGATCGATGATTCGCTCCATACTGTAGATCTAAGTTGAACCTCGCTCTATAGAATGGTACTTTAAGCTCGACAAAAGACACGAAAGCAAGAGAGTTATTAACGACCAAACAGTGTGCACATCTTTTTGGGACACCCTGTATAAGTAACGCACTAAGGTCAAATTGAAAGCACTGGGTTAGTCGTTACAGAGCGCAAAGAAAGTTAGGGAGACGGTCAAGAGGCGCGCTTTCTTCTAGGGTCACTAATTTAACAGCCCAATTTAGAGCCATGCAAGTCTTGCAAGGATACTAGACAGTTTTGCAGCTTAATAACTTCCTGAAGTCACTATTTGCTAAGTTTAACGGCTGATGAAAAATTGATCGAACTATTCGCAAATTGCCGTTGGTTGCATTTTAACTGATTTTTGACTCTCAACATTTGAGACACTATGCATTACACGAATGCACTTTCTCCGAAGTTAACGAAAAACCTCCAAAGTTGTGGAGGTTTTTCGTTAACCAGTTAACTATTCTATTAGATCGTTTCAAAAGTAATTTCGCTTTTTTAAAGGGCACCACATGTGATGGAACAAAGGTTTCTAAGAGATCTTGGAGGCATTCGATGTAGAATTTTATTCTCTTTCTAATGTTCATGAAATTTTTGCAAAACAGTCAATGAGCTTTCAGAATATAGCCAAAATATGCGACCCATGCTTTTTGAAGTGGTCAAGTTTCACGATTTTTTAAAACTTTCATATCAATCCTCAAAAGGAACACAAGTGGCGGTTCGATAAAGCAAACCTTATAGAATACAGCACTGTTTTTTCTCTTTCTCGTAGCTCTCCGTAATTTTTTAAAAGATTTTTTAACAAAACTATCGGATTTTGGCAGGCCTACATCAGCCACAATCGCATCAAACATCATAGTTACTCGGATTTTGAGACTATCAAGATGATACTATGAGTCAGCACTAATTTTACAAAGCAAATGAGAGTTTACGGATTCGAAATAGCATATTTCGAGTTTTTCGGGTACAGCATGGGGCTCGCTAAAAAATTGAGTCATGATGGATTTATCCCCGGAAACGAAACGAATCGGAAACAAAAAACACCCGTTAGAAAGAGAAGAAAATGCTGCATCGAATAGTGCGCGAGCTGCTCTTCTTTTGATGTTCTACGAGGATTTAGCTGCCCAAGTATGGAAATCGGTAGCATCAGTTAAAATTCTGTTGAAAATGTATGACAAGCTATGGAAAGGAGAAGAAAATAGCTCTGTATTCCATAAGGCTTACTCTATCGGATCGTTACTTGAACTCCTTCTGAGGATTGATATGAAAGTTTTAAAAAATTGTGAAACTTGACCGCAATCAGCCAATAAAATTGCAACTCTTGACATACACTCCTATTTGGAGTGTAATTTGGAGTAACACATACCCGATGTAACGTATAACTCAAATCCAAAAACAAAAGATGATCTTGACATGGATTACAGAGGAAAGTTTAAGCGAAGTTATATGAAAGTATTTGCATTTCAGATCATATGAGAATGCCTTCGATTACACTACAGAGAGAGCGTGAACGGTTGCACTGCTCATTGCCAAATTATCTGAAAAAGGTTAGTTTTATTGAACGGAAATTTTCATCGAATGAGCGAATATCGATTCCTTGATTTTTGAAATTTTTTTGAGCGACTGAAAATAGAATAACTATTCTTCGAAAATTTTTCGAATGAACGAATATTACTCGATTTCCGATTTCCACATCAACCGAATTTGAATATTCGAATCCGGACACATTCCAAAATTCGACTATTCGAGTATTCGAATGACTGCATATCATTAATTTTTCTTCTTCTCCTCCTTTACGCCATTGTCCCGCGGGGGCAAGGGGATATTAACAAATATATATACTCGAAAATTCGATTATGCGAGAATTCTAATATATTAGGTCGTTTCATAAGTTCGTCGACTTTTTATTTTTGTTGCCGTTTTTCGATGAAGCGGTTGGTTTACGGTAAAGTACCTATACCATTGAAAAGAGAAGATCTTGATCTACAAGAACTGTTGTTTTTTTGGAGCAAACTTGATTCCCCTTCTTTTACGACTTATCAAAGCAAAATTTTTTGAGAGGCAAAAATTGACGATTGTGGCAACTGCAACTTTCGATCCGTATACGGAGCCACATGTGGGAATTTTTCGTCTGAAGTTGTTATGAGGATGAGAAACAACTGTTTGTGTTACTACGGTGCATATAAAAGTAGTCTCCATATCCAAAGAGAGGCTATAAAGAGAGATTAAGCGCACGTTTACCATGTGTGTAGATGTTTTGCCTTTGGCACAATTTGAAGAAGTTCCCACGTCAAAAATTTTTTTGAGAAAGCGTAAAATGTTGGTCAGAGCTTGTACTCATACATCTACACCACTTACAAGGGAAGTTCGCCGAATCGAAATGGCCGATTGATACGTGGTATATGCCCGGACGCGGGGCTCGGAAGGTTAGTCTCAAATGTGCGCCCATTAGCTGCGACGCGTTATTGTGAAGCAAGTTATGGCCCTCTGAAGTTTTTGGCGTGTGCATGTCTAGAGTACGCACAAATGCTCCGATTGTGGTCGTGTGGTGTAGTGGTTAGCGTCTCGGGCTCACAGGTGACCGGTGAAGGTTCGAATCCTGTTGCTGTCCACATGTTTTGCGTTCTTCTCAAAAATCATTTTTTACCTGTTTTATGCATTATTGCGGTAAAAAAAATGACACACACGGGTTACGGGATGATTTTTCTCACGAAAATTCGACCAATGCTTCATATGTAAGGTTTTCGTAGAACATAGCAACGACTTTTTAGCGACGGCTTTTCAATTGATTTTTAAGATTTGCCAAATCCTCACTCCCACATACTTCCTTCGATTTCACGTAGTATATACGTGACAATCTCCAAGTTGTATCACGGTACTATTGATTCTTGCTAATGGGCTACCTTGTGAAAATGACACAGCAGGATGTATAATTTGTAGAGTTTAACCACCCGTATGTGCCATTTTTTACGTCAGTAATGCATAAAACAGGTAAAAAATGCTTTTGAGAAGAACGCAAAACATGTGGACAGCAACAGGATTCGAACCTTCACCGGTCACCTGTGAGTCCCGCCAACCACTACACCACACGACCACAATCGTAGCATTTGTGCGTACTCTAGACATGCACACACCAAAAACTTCAAAGGGCCATAACTTGCTTCACAATAACGCGTCGCAGCTAATGGGCGCACATTTGATACTAACCTCCCGAGCCTCGCGTCCGGGTGTATACCACGTATCAATCGGCCATTTCGATGCGGCGAACTTCCCTTGTTAGAAGAACGCATCCATTCCTCAAGTTCCCATAGGAGGACCGACACATTGTGTCGCTGAACAACGCGCCAAACTCAAGCGGCAGCAGTCAAAGACAACAATTATTGGGACCTTGTTCAGACCGTTCTATGCATATTGGCATGCTGCAAATTTGTCAATGTTTCAGTCTTGCTTGCTACTATCCATCCCGCCTACCTATGACAGAAACATCTTGCGGAATACGGACCAAATGCGGAAAGTGCAATTGCCGCAATCGCCAATTTTTGCCTTTCAAAAAATTTTGCTTTGATAAGTCGTAAAAGAAGGGATTCAAGTTTGCTCCAAAAACGAACAACAGTTCTTGTAGAGCAAGATTTTCTTTTTTTCATTGGTATAGGCACTTTGCCGTAAACCAACCGCTTCATCGAAAAACGGCGACAAAAATAAAAAGTTGACGAACTTATGAAACGACCTAATAATATTCGAATAAGGAAGAAAGCTTGCATATAAAGCACATGTGAAAAAACATTTTCACACCCGAATAATCGAACATGTAATTTATTCTTGCTTGAATAGAATTTTCGCACAACTGTTCTTCTATAATTCTCGAATATACGAATCTCCGAATAACTGTTTCTCAAATCTACGAATATTCAAATATTCGAATATGACATTTTTTTCCCCGCGAATGAATGAATACTCGAATAAAGGTCTTTTTTACATATTAGACTAACAGATTAGATACTTACTTAGATACTTAGATGGCCCGGCTTCACGTGACGTGCGGGCCCCAGCTCAGAAGTTTCCATTTCTCCCTGTCCCTCGCTTCTGACATCCATGATCTTCTTGGCTGACGTCGGTGGCTGCGTCCACGAGTTCCAGGTGCAAAAATCGTATCCAGCTGATTTCTCAGCTGGTCCATCCGTTCCACGAACACGTCTGCCCATCTCGTTGGTGGTCTTCCTCGGGGACGTTTTGCTTCGCGAGGAATCCACTCCGATGTTCTTAGTGTCCATCTGTCGTCTGTTCTTCCCATGACGTGACCGGCCCATCGATGCTTCGCTTTCGCAACGTAATCCGCTGGGTCACGAAGACGGGACATTCTCCTCATATCCGTACTTCGAATTCCGACGAGATGTTGCTTGTGTCGAGTCAACTTCAGAAGACTACGCTCTAGCGCTCTGTGGGTGGTCCTTAAAGCTTTCGAAGTGGCGACGGTGTCAGCCCAAGTCTCAACTGCGTAACAGAGTGCCGGGAGAACGGTTGAGTCGAACAGGTGGGCACGAAGCTCCGGGTCCGTCAGTTGGTCGGTGGCTTCCTTCAGAGGCCCGAAGGCGGCCCAGGCTGCTCTTCTTCTCCTGTTGAGTTCTTCCCTCAAGTCGTTCTCCATGTTCATCGAACGTCCGAGATACACGTAAGAAGACGTCTCCGTGATAGGGGTCCTTCCAATTATATTTCTGCATCTTCGCAAAGGGCGTTCTTCATGAACTGAGTCTTCTTCGGATTGATTCGCAATCCGATCTTCTTCCCTACTTCGTTCAGTTCCTTCAGCATCGTCTCTGCTTCAGTGATACTGCTCGAAAAGAGGACGATGTCGTCCGCAAAACGAAGGTTCGACAGGAATCTCCCATCAACTCGTATGCCTCTCTCGTCCCAGTCCAGTGACTTCATCACCCACTGCAAGGCCGCGGTGAACAGCTTCGGCGAAATTGTGTCGCCTTTTCGAACCCCCTTCCCAATTGGGATGGTCAGGGGGCGATGGAATAGCTGCATCGTCGTTGTACAGTCCTTGTAACAGTCGGATAACGTCCTCACGTAAGCTGGGTCCACTCCTTGATCGACTAGCGCAGACAGGATGGCGTTGGTTTCGACGCTGTCAAAGGCTTTCTCGTAGTCGACAAAGGTTAGGACGAGAGGCAGTCGGTATTCCCGGCAGACTTCTATGACCCTCGAAACCGTCTGGATGTGGTCCATGCAGCTCCTTTGCGAAATCCAGCTTGTTCTTGGGGTTGGGCTTCATCCAGTGTCCTAGATATGCGAGCGAGGATAATATTCGTGAAAAGCTTGTACAGCACACTCTGCAGGCATATTGGACGGCAATTCCGAAGATCTTCCCGTTCACCCTTCTTGAAAAGAAGGACGGTTCTTGATGTTCTCCACTGGTCGGGAATCCTTTCCTTCTGAAGGTAAGTTGTTAGGTGCGACGCGAGGATCTCGTGTAGACGTTGTCCTCCAGCTCGCAGAAATTCGACGAAAAGATGGTCTGGTCCTGGAGCCGTGGACGTCTTTATGGTCTGAATCGCTGTGCGCACTTCAACAGGTAGAATTCGTGGTGGTACTTCTCCAGTGGGAACAACGGGCATCGGCACGGGTGTTGATGAGCGGAAAAGGTTGGTATAGAAGTTCTTCGCGATAGATTCCATCTTGTATCGGGAAGAAGTCGGAGTCCCGTCTTCTTTCAATAATGCAGCCAGCGGTACGCGATATTCACAGAGGTCCCTTCGGCACTTCTTGAGACTTCGTCTTCCTTCGGCTGCTTCCAGTATCTTGGCTTGCCTGTACTTCCTGAGATCCTCCTGCAAAGCTGTTCTGCAACTGGCGTTGGCTATCAGTCGCTCGAGATGGGTTGCATTCGGATCCTGCCTCAGAAATCTTCTTCTTTCAAGCATTTCCTTGGTGGTCTTCGAAATGCGTTCAACATACTTCTCGGAAGTCACTGAGGCGCACTCTCCGCAGGCTCGCAATCCTTTCAGAAGCCGGTCGTAGTCGTACGTTGGGTCCTCCTCGATGAGCCAGTCACAACTTGATATGAGCTCCTCCAGACTGTTACCGTCATAAACGACATTCTTCCTTCTTGCGGCACTGTGGCAGACCTTCTTTTCCAGCCTTCCATTGAATCGTACCTTCGCTCGAAGGAGGCAATGATCGGAGCCACTGCAGAAGAATGGAACTACTGAGATATCGAGCAAGCTCCACCTTCGGTTGGTGAGAATGTGGTCGATCTCCGCGTGGGTCGTTCCGTTGGGCGATTCCCATGTCCACCGGCGATGTTCTTTCTTCATAAAGATGGAATTTCCAAGGAAAAGTCGTGCGGCGGAGAGAAGCCCAACAAGACGGTTGCCGTTTTCGTTCCGGAGCCCATATCCAAACTTCCCGATCCTATATTCCTTTTCCAGTGGCATCCCGATTTTCGCGTTGAAGTCGCCCACAACAAACTTATAAAAGGACTTCTCGTTGCGGACGACCTCCTCCACATCTTCGTAGAAAGCATCTAGTTCTGATTCGTCAGCTG